ACAACTGTAACAATAAATGCTATAGTAAATTCTCTAAATGCATTACTTAAGACTGGATTAAATTAATCTATTCCTAGCACTGTTTTCTGACCTCATATTGTGGGAAAGGAAGGTGTGTGTATGTAGGTGCTAGTTCCTGCATTTGTTATGCTGTGTGTGCCAAGCCACATACAACATTTGTGGGTGTCAGAATTTCTTACTTAAGTCCCTCCAGCCACTATTTCCTGTACAGCGTAAAAAATTCCTGATCATGCAAAACACTCACATCCTTGGTTTAACTTGCATTTCACTGTGGCCTTAAAGGTTTTGTGCTCAAAAATCTTTTTAATCTGTCTTATTAGGACTGTGTGGGTGCAAATTAATCCCATTTGAGCAGTGAGCAAACACCCTACCCTCTTTTACCAGATCTTTAATGTTTGCACTTCTACTTAACCTTTCTAACCAACTTTTAATGAGTCAGAAAAGAGAAAAAATGCAAAAAACTTCTCACTATTTCAGTAAAACTCATCTAAACATCACAACTCTACAAACTAACTTGTTGGTTGGCTAAGAAAATTACTTATTGGGGCTTTTTACGAGCTCATAGAGGAAATCATAGTATATAATTCTCGTCAAAGTTCATGCAACACTATAGCTTATTTAAAAAATAAGCTGAAAATAAAGGTAACCATTAAGAAATCGTAAAAGAAACTTAGCTGACCATCATAAATGATAACGTGGAAACAGATAAATAGCTTCTATCCGAGGCCTATTAAAAAAAAAACAACACACATTTAGGTGACTCAGCAGGCAACAACTGTTTTGGAGGGATACAGAGTCCTCCTGTTACGGTAACAGGCAGAGGAGGTCTCGAAATGTGAAAAAGAACTCCCCCTTCATTACAAAATTACACACCATTTGCCCCTCATTCCTATCCAGTTGTCTGGGTAACTGCTAGCTGTAATTTGGGTTAATTCACTAGCTCCCGAGCCCTTCCTTTCCCCATTGTGCCCCATCATAAAAGAGATATAACACAGATGCACACACACACACAGACACACACAGATACATATGCACACACTTGTACAAACTAAGGTTCTAATGCAGTGACTCACACAGTAAGGGAGACTAATCCGCATTTTGTTTGCTTCTCCTCATCACGGCTGGAAATAGGCCATGTGTGGGAATATCAGTGTAGGAGATTCAGTGCAAATCTAAGCTTTAAGCTTTAATCTTTTCATTCCTAGCACCTTTATCGAGCTGTTGCAATAATTTAGTTATTAAATTCTTTAGCTGGGGTTCTACTGTTGTCAAGAATTGTATAATATTTTTAAAGATTTGCACAAAAAGGACACTTATCCTTTCTGACCCTGCCCTGTGTTGAAGGTGGGAGAGATGGAAATGGGAGGGCTACTCTTTTTGCTGCTTTCAGAACAAAAGGAATGGAAAATTGTGTGTTTTCCCATGGGGTAAATATTGAGAGAGTAGAGATATAAACGCACGGAAGAAAGGCTTTTCTAAGCAGCCCGGGTCTCTGTTGCACTGCCAAAGGCCTGTGCGTCACTTGATCCATTGTTTAGTGTAGAGAGGTCTCGGTGAGCAAGCGGCTGACTCCCCGCTCCAGCTGCAGACTCTCTACTGTTTATGTTTGCAGGGCCCTTCGCCTTGAAGTGAGGCTATACAAGCAAAGCCTAGCCATATGTGAGCACTGGGCCCTCAGAGAAGTTACTTGCCCTTTATTTTTCAAACCATCCATCTCTCTAAAACTCTCTCTGTCTCGTTTGTCCCTCTTCTTTCAGCTTGTTTGCTTTCCCTCGCTGACAGTCCAACTCTTCCCTGACAGCCTGCTCTTTTGAAGAAGATGAAGGATTGGAATTATCTTCTTGAGTTTCAAAGAGCCCAGTCCTGGATGGCAGGAAAGCTGTAGGTATTATAACTGCTGGGAGAAATAATTACCCCCCCTGGAACTGCTCAGTGGGAATTAAATGTTCATGGGCTCAGCAAGAAAATCTGAAAAACAAGATTGGTAATTATGTCATAGAAATATTTCAGCTTCTATGAATGTTTGCCCATCAATACAGATGAGCATCACTCCAAAAAAGGCAACATGGAGTTAAAGGTATAGTATATACATCTGGGCTGTTTGGCCAGTCAAGTATGTAAGTGTATGGACTTTTTCAAAACTCCTTTATCCGGGTTAATTGCTACCTTTGTTTTACTTTGCAAGCACAAAGGTGGATAAAGATCTAGTTTCAAACTAAACACTTGAGTCAACCTGGAATTTTTTTGTGTGTGAGCTTGGTTTAGTGTGTAAGTTTACGCATGTGTCTGAAGGTTAGTAGTGCTGACCTTGGCTTCTGGGTGGGCTGCAGTGGCAATGTGCTTGTCTTGGATCATCTTTGGACCCTTCTGTTTACTGAAACAACACGCAAGCAGTGTCCAGGGAGGAGAAACGAGTCACACAGGGAGCATCCTCAAAGGCTCTCCTTTTCTTACCCGTGCTTCAACACACACACACACACACACACACACACACACACACACACACACACAAACATAAATGTACACACAAGAAGGTGTCTTCAAGAGCCCTGACCACCCATGTCACCCATGGTCATCTTCTGAGATAAAACCTTTTTCTTGACCCCTTCCTTAATGAATTCATTATCTGCTGGAGGCTTTAGACACTCTGGGTTTAATATGTGTACCAAAATCTGACCTATCTGATGGTTAAAGCCCTCATTCTGCGTGTGTAGAAAGCTCTCCCACACACTGTCTGGAAAATAAGTGAGATATTAGCTTTGAGAACCGCACTTGACGTTAGAGAGGCTTTGTAAGGGAAACTATAAATTAAAAGGTGTCATAATTGTGCTGCCACCCATACCCATAAATCGCAGATCACCCCAGGTGAGGAAAGTCCCTGCTGTTGAACAACCCAGGTAAACATCCTTTGATTTCAGCTGCAGGTAACACACACGTTGCTCAGACTGCAGCTTTGAAAGTAGATGCATTTACACAGATATTTCAATTTAGCACGCATGATGGGAAACCCCCGGTGGCGGGGAACAGTGTTGTGACAAAAATGGTAATTTGACTACATTTGATCGCCGGATTTCTGCTGCAGAGCTATAGCTCTGGAATCCCAAGGCACGATGAAACCTTTACATTTCGCGCCCTCTAGTGGCCATGACGAATCTTTACACGATCACAACATCCACCCATCGTATTCTTAACAGCTCAAGTTCAGGGTCTAACGGGGCCTGATGAATGATTAATAATAAATCACTCCAATGATTTATTACAGCTCGTAGTATTTATGAAAAACACTACATAAATAAAATTCAGTTGACCTTAGAGAACTCTGAGAAGACATCAAATCACTCAGTTAAAACACATCTTTAGTTTTCATGAAGTATGATTTACTAGTTACTCTTGTGTCACCCTGTTTGTGTTGGTACGATAAATACTCCTTTCTTTTCCCCCCCCTTCAAAAAAGGAAAACAAAAAAAAAAAAACAAAAAAAAAAAACATTAAAAAAATTTAAACAACACGGCTAATTTACATCTGCAGTCCAGGCCAGGTTAGATTGAAGCTTTACCATGAACAATGATGTGCAACAAAAACAAACAGCTCAGGTAGGAATACGTTAAAAGCGTCCACACACTTGATTTACCATCGGCCATTATTCGCGATGATCAATCAGGCAGCAATACATTTTTGATAATTTGACAATTTTAAAAGACTTTGTGGACGTGAGTTTGGCTCCTACACTATTTGTAGTTGCTGTGAATGTACACAGTGGAAATCGAGGATTTTCTGTCTTAATATATTACAAAACCAAAGTCATATGTATCAATTACAGATAAACTGATGAGCTCACAGATTCTGAGATTTTCTCTTACCATGAATATCCATACCAATCAGTGTATATGTTTCCTACAGTCATTGATCGATACCAAGAGAAGTGAACAGAGTTTTGATTTGTGAACAGGTCATTATTTTCCTTTCTTTTTTTTTTAAACATTCAGACTAGGAATAGACTATCTAAGCTCAGGGTCACTCTGACCTTCCTCCCCTTCTCACTCCTTCTTTTTTCTTATTCCCGACACTATCTCTCATGGGGAGGATCATTCATCACGGTTGTCTAAACACCCCTGTCTCTGTGTGATTAGTGACCCTTTTAGGTCAGACATCACTGAAGCACATGCTAATTAAAACAGCTGTGCGTGTCAGCATATATACATACACAGATGAGGGAAGGTTTTGTTTTCTTTAAACACTGTATATCATGCTGTCTGCAGCACACCCTTCAAACTAATTTCTGAGGATGCAGGTAGAAGCTGATAAGTCTCTGTCCCGAACTCCTGCTGTGGATTAGAAAAGAGTCTGATTCTGAGATGATTGCGTCTTCCCATCACGCGAGCAAATGTTTTCTTGATCTCAGAGGAGAATAGAGGATGCTAATGACAGTTAAAAGTGTGTGTGTGTGTGTGTGTGCGTACGGATGTGTAGGAATGAATTAATGGAACAAGACAGGTCCTTCCGTTTAGCAGATAAGGTGTCATTATTATTTTTATTACTCATATCTCTACAAGATATGTAGACACACACACACACACACACACACATTTGTCACTGCTATCAGTGCTTAGTCACGTATGAGAAAGTTATGTAAATTTTAACCTTGAATTGCATCAGAATTATTAACTGTGTGGAGTAAGAGATTTATATCTGAACCGTAAAACTGAAGGTGCAAAGAAGGAGAAACACGACATCATTTTTCTATTGACAAGAACACTCATAAATAAGTAATAGTCTGATTACAACAAAAAGCAGTGCTTTGGCAAGTTAACAGTTACTTTGCATTTGGGTGGAATAACTTGGCCTGAGGGTTTTTTTTTTAAAGCAAATTGAAAAGCTTGTTTTTGAGTGCACAGTATTACATGAAATAACACTAATTACTCAAGTAAACTTGAAAAGCACCATTTGTTCAGTAACAATATTGTTTAAAACCAACAATGGTGATATTTCATTTATTTGAGTGAACAAACAACATGCATCAGTCCCTATAAGATGAAGACGTGGAGATTAAATTAAGAATGTAATTTATAGACATGTGTGTTTTACATGGAAACAGTTCAGACAGTACTACTGCATTCATATTAATACAGTTAGTTCCATAAGTATTTGGACAGTGAGACAATTTTGCCTCTATACACCATGACAGTGGATTTTAAATCAAACAATTAAGATGTGATGGAAGTGCAGACTTTCACCTTTAATTCAGGGGCTGTTTGACAAAGGCAATGCATTAACTGTGTAGATGTTATAACTTTTTATTTTTAGTACACAACCAGTTTTGTCAGTCAACTGTAAAAATTAATTGGGCAGGCGAGGCCTGTTCCAGTGTTATTCTGAAGCGGATTCTGAGTGTTGAATGTGGATTTAGTAACTGTTCACTGGAATTTCAAAGATGTCAGTACAAGTAAGGGAGGCCATAGACTGAAAAAAAAACAAACAAAATCATCCGAGAGATAGCAAAAACTTCAGGAGTGACCAAACACTGACCGGCTCAAGAACACCAAAATGCCTGAAAGACCACACAAAGATTACAAAAGTAGGCGATGGCAGAATCATTTTGATGGTTAAACAAAAAAAAGGAAGAAAGAAACCTTTTCAACATCAACCCAGGTCGAGAACACTCTCAAGGTGGTAGGTGCGTCTAAGTCTACAATCAAGACATGCCTTCATGAACATAAATACAGAGGGTTTATAGCAAGATGCAAATCGCTGTTTACAGTCAAGAACAAGAAAACCTGATTAGACTTTCCCAGAAAGCATCTAAACGAACCTGCATAGCTCCACAAAAAAAAATATCAGTCTTCGGACAGATGAAACCAAGATTAACCTGTTGATGGAAAAAGAAAAGCAAGGGGAGAAGAACTTATGATCTGAAGCACACCAGCATGTCTGTCACACATGGATTTTGATTTAGACCAATCCAGCCTGCTTTCGATTTTGCTTGGCGTAGTCTTGTAAGCCTTGCATCATAGGTTCTGCATAGAGAATCTTAAGTGGAATAGTCTGCAGCAACCAGCCCTGTACACACATGCACACACACATACAATACTGCAGGTCAGTCTCTTGGTGGCAGTTTTTGGCATTATGTTTGCGACTCTAAGTCTTACCAGAACTGTATGACAGATGCTTCCATTTGTTTTGTCTCCAGCGCTGACGTACTGCAGTGAATATTTTACAAAGTCTTCTGGTGAAAAAGTTATCATGTTAGCTTTTTGGAACCCAGCCATTCGAGTGGATACCCCGAATGGAGCCACTGACTGAAAACAGTGCATGAGAGGGAAAGATTTAGGACAAGAGGACAAGAAATAAAAGACTTTAAAGTTAGTTTAAAGAAAATAATTGCTTTCGTTTCATAAAACTTGAGATGATGTCTGAGTGAGGATCAAAATACCTGGATAATAATCCCCTTATCTTTGTATTCAGCTTGTAGACCTTGAGAAAATCTTTCCACAAACACCTATAAGAACGCAAATTAAAATGTGAAGGATCATACGTCGCCTGGGCAGAGAGACTTAAAAGTGTGCCGCTGATGTGAAACTTGCCTTTGATGCAGCATACAGGGTGTACATGGGAAATGGGATAGAAGCAATTCCAGAAGAAACATTCAATATCATCCCTTTCCCTCTATAAATACAATAAACATACAAACAGATATAAATAATTAAACAACACTTATGAGCACAACCTCAGTATTAATTAGCATGTTATAATCCATCACTTTACACATTACATCTAATGAAGAAAACATGGGTAGGAAACCTGTTTGCCATGCCTGGGAGAATAATTTTGCACATCTGGAAACAAAAGAAAATAAGTTCAGACTTGAGTCATATGAAGCAATGAAAAGCATTAACTTGTTTTAGAACAATACAAATAATCCTTAAAAAACAGGGGTGTCAAACAAAATGCCCGGGGACCAGAACTGGGCCGGCAAAGACTCCAATCCGACCACTGGACAGCTTTAGGAAATGTAAAGGATGGCATAAAATGTGGAGTTTTAACTATATTTTAACTCTATACAAAAGTATGTAAATAACAGAAAAGTCCCCGTTCATTCACTATTAACTATAAAAAAAATGTTTGGGTGCACAGTAAAAACAAGATAATAAAACTTTGTGCTTTATAATTACAGGACAGTCTGGGTGAAGCTACCGAAACTTTGTCTGTAATTTAATTTATTACTTTATGTCGTTTTTATGTAGAAAACTGAGACATACTGCTGAAATCATACTTCCATATCTCAGGAATCTGTTTTAAACTTCTTTAAAATGACAGGAAGGGGAAGTTCATTGATCTGGCCCACTTAAGATCATAGTGGGCTGTATGTGCCACTTTGACAACCCTGCTCTACAAAATCCTTTACGTGCGCTTCCTTTACTGGCAAACCCTCTCAGATTATACTGATGATTATATACTGTCTTCATCAATAAACAATCAATATGACCTTAAATTCATTGTTTTGTAGTAACAATAAAACTATGATCTTACCTTGGCCATCGTCTTCACATTGCAGTTTATCACTTTGGTAATTGTCTGAAAACATAGATGAACATGGGTCTCAGATAATTTCTTTATTTATATCTAAAGAAATGTATTTGGAGCTAAAATGCTCTTCTAAAAACATGTTATTATAAACTGAACCCTCTGAGGTTCAACATCAGGATGCTATCTGCTGTCAAACTTACTACCAATAAAAGTAATAATTATGCAAATGGGTTCAATCCAAACAATCTATAGTTAGTCATAATGTTGTAGTGGTATTTTCTTTTTTTGTTTTTACTTATTGTACATGGAGTCGTGCACAAGGTCCTGGATCTGTTTATTATACATTTGCACACATATGCAGGTGATGCTATTATATCTGCCAAAGCCATAAAGAGAGTCATACAGAAATCACAGCTAGCAGGTGAGCATGGATGATTTTTTTAGAGCCTAATCATCAATGGGTTTTAATAAGGAACAACAAATATAAACATAATGTGCTTGTACATATACACAAAAAACTAAACACCTTTAAGTATAAGCTGCTGAGGTACTACTGACCTTGTCCAGCTCATCATTCTCAAGGAATCTGTAGGGAATGAAGCAAGGCAGCGTTCCTACATTGTTGACTGGGGTAGAAAAAAGCGCGGAAAATAACTGATATTATTTTCTTAAATAATTAGGGTTTTTTTCCCCATTTTTTTGTCTCTAAACACAAAGTGCCTGTGTTGATTTGCAAATTTTTATAAATTTGTGTTTCATTTACAGTTGAACATAGAAAAAATATGTTGAATGTTTAAAATGACCATTTCATGAATAGTGTTAGCTCACTGTGAATGACATGTCTCAAAAATGTTGGAATGGTGGCAGCAAAAGGCTGGAAAAGTAAATGATACTAAAAAGAAACAACTGGAGGAATGTTTTGCGGCTGATTAGATTGATCGGTAACAGGTTGGTTGTCTTTTTTGGGGGAAATCTTTGCATGTTCCAGCAAAATATTGATCAACTCGATTCTGCATCAACTACAACTGCATTGTCTGGGTGCTGACAGGCCTGCCGATCTTCCATAACTTTCACCAAAAAAGTATGACAAAGGAGATCCAGGGCTGTTGAGCAGCTAGAATCCTATATCGGACAAAACATGGAACAACATTCATCTCCCAAAATTCCACAGTCTGTAAAATCAGCAGATTTACAAATTGTTCTTAAAAGAAGAGGGGCTGCTACATTGCAGTAAACATGGCTCTGCCCCAGCTTAGTGCTTAAAAGCTAATGTTTTTCTTAAAATGGTGTTTTAAAAATGAAGATGTTTTGTTGTAAATAAAATATGGGCTCATGAGATTTGCAAATCATTGGATTGTGTTTCTATTTACGCAGCATGCCATCTTTTTTGGAACTGGATTTTGTATGGAGGCACAAATAAAAGCTCACCTAAAACTCCTATGTTGAGGTCCTTCAGTTGCTCTTCAATTTCACTAAAGATATTTTCTTTGGTAAAATCTGTTGCTATCACTTTCACCCTCTGCCCTGTGGCTTCTCCTGTGAACAATGAAAAGACAAATATTGTGCACCGTTTGCCTGGATCAACAGCATATTAGCAGATATCATACATTTTAGGAAGCAAAGAAAATAAAACATGCACATAGATACCTATCTCTTTAGCCACTTGATCCAGTTTTGTTTTGGTTCTGCTCATGACTACAATGTTCATTCCCCGCTGAGCTAGCTGAGATGCAATAGCGATAGTGGAAAAGTACATATGAAAACACAGTTACACAGCAAAAAGTAGCAAGTGTGCCTCAAAGGAACAGTAGTTTAACTATGGTGTGCTCATTTCAAATTATTATACATATAAGTATTTGCTAAAATATAAAAAGATATTATGTACAGTATGTGTATTCGTTTTGTTTTATGAGAACACAAGCAGAGTTATTTAAACAGTCACTTACTGCAAATGCATATGCTCTTCCTATTCCCTCTGAAGAACCAGTCACCACTGAAAGGAGGATGGAGAGACAGAAAATTACAAATGAATCCCTCATCAAATCTCCTGCAGTTTCCATTCTGACCACTAGAGGCACTGTACTGCACAGAACAGTACAGTAATGCACTGCCTTACCCATCTTCCTCTGCTTTCAGCCAAATCCCAGGATTGTTTTATTATTTGTTTACATTAGTTTAATCCTCACTCCATTCTGTTTGTACAAACTGTGCTAAAACAGCATGTTCCCCTGGTGTGATAAAGAACTGATAGGAACAGCTTGTTTCTGAGTGTTCACTGCTCTCCCATTTCCTCCTGGCCCTTATTACAAAGACCACAGGCTGTTTTCATCACCGTTTTCAGACCTAAATGAGAATTCATATCTAATTATGTTTTACAGCACTGAGAAAATTGTGTAAAGCCATTAAAACATTAAAAAGATCCCATGGTTTGAAGTGTTGTTAGAACAGGGGGGAAATGAGTAATGTGACACTGCCTATTAACTACTGAAACAGGAACTGAAATTAAGCCTCCGTTTTAATTTGTTCAGCTGAACAAATAAATTGAATTCACACTTTTACTACTTAATTAGGAAAGTATCAAATGACAAAGAAACCTCACATTGAGCCTCCGTTTTATGAAATGCAATCCGCTAAGTTTTGTCATTTATATTTCTTCTTTAGTGAAAACCACAGTATACACAAACAGGCAGCAGTATGTTCAAATAGGGCTTTAACATGTAGATATACATACTGAACTATAAAAAACAAACAAACAAACAACCTAATTATATCAACTTAAGAACTACATTCAAGACAATGAAACAGTGAAAATAACCAAACTGAGCATGTGCGGTGAGGTTATGTGATGAGAAGTGGACGTTTTGATTTTAATATATGGTGCTCATGTTAAACACGATCAAAGTTTTAAATAACATAGTCAACATAAGTAAAAGTTACCGCAGTGAACCAAAAGCTCAAGTTTCAGACTGCTCTAAATGCTCTAAGCCAGGAGAGTCAAACACAAGGCCTGAGGACCAGAATTGGCCCAGCAAAAACTGCAATTTGGCCCACTGGATAGCATTGGAAATTTTAGTTTT